CATGTTAGAGGTGACAGTTGTATAGCACTTTTATCTAAAGAGATTTACAATACATTTCAGATTCACACCCTGACATGGAAAACCAGGAGGCAACCTCGGGTTCGGTGCTTGCCCAAGGACACTTTGGCATGTAGTTAAGGGGAAGCTGGAACTGATCCACGACTCTCTGGTTGACGGATGACTCTTCTTCCACCTGAGCAGCCAACCGGAAGTTATCTTTTTTATTTTGTTGAATGAACTTGAAGAAATCATGGAAATCATTTCCACCTAATTAATTAATTAATTTTCAACATTAAACATTTTAGTTTCTTAAACCAAATATTCTTGGTTTAGGTCAACCTAATGTATCAAGGTTAGTCAAACATATTTGCTATGTTTTAGTCTGATTCTATTAAGATAAGTATTTTTAACTTGATTTTAATGAATTTAGATTACACAATTTTTTTGAGTTGATTTTACCTATGCAAATTAAGTTGACTTTACTCAAAGTATTAATTTAAATCAAACTGGTGCGAGTTAAGCAGACATAATTTAATCAAGTCAAGCTAGAAAGAAAAAATTAAGTAGAACAAACTCAAATACACTATATTGCCAAAAGTATTTGCTCACCCATCCAAATTATTGGAATCAGGTGTTCCAATCACTTCCATGGCCACAGGTGTATAAATTCAAGCACCTAGGCATGCAGACTGTTTTTACAAACATTTGTGAAAGAATGGGTCGCTCTCAGGAGCTCAGTGAATTCCAGCGTGGAACTGTGATAGGATGCCACCTGTGCAACAAATCCAGTCGTGAAATTTCCTCGCTCCTAAATATTCCACAGTCAACTGTCAGCTGTATTATAAGAAAATGGAAGTGTTTGGGAACGACAGCAACTCAGCCACGAAGAGGTAGGCCACGTAAACTGACGGAGCGGGGTCAGCGGATGCTGACGCGCATAGTGCGAAGAGGTCGCCAACTTTCTGCAGAGTCAATCACTACAGACCTCCAAACTTCATGTGGCCTTCAGATTAGCTCAAGAACAGTGCGCAGAGAGCTTCATGGAATGGGTTTCCATGGTCGAGCAGCTGCATCCAAGCCATACATCACCAAGTGCAATGCAAAGCGTCGGATGCGGTGGTGTAAAGCACGCCGCCACTGGACTCTAGAGCAGTGGAGACGCGTTCTCTGGAGTGACGAATCGCGCTTCTCCATCTGGCAATCTGATGGACGGGTCTGGGTTTGGCGGTTGCCAGGAGAACGGTACTTGTCTGACTGCATTGTGCCAAGTGTAAAGTTTGGTGGAGGGGGGATTATGGTGTGAGGTTGTTTTTCAGGAGCTGGGCTTGGCCCCTTAGTTCCAGTGAAAGGAACTCTGAATGCTTCAGCATACCAAGACATTTTGGACAATTCCATGCTCCCAACTTTGTGGGAACAGTTTGGAGCTGGCCCCTTCCTCTTCCAACATGACTGTGCACCAGTGCACAAAGCAAGGTCCATAAAGACATGGATGACAGAGTCTGGTGTGGATGAACTTGACTGGCCTGCACAGAGTCCTGACCTCAACCCGATAGAACACCTTTGGGATGAATTAGAGCGGAGACTGAGAGCCAGGCCTTCTCGTCCAACATCAGTGTGCGACCTCACAAATGCGCTTCTGGAAGAATGGTCAAAAATTCCCATAAACACACTCCTAAACCTTGTGGACAGCCTTCCCAGAAGAGTTGAAGCTGTTCTAGCTGCAAAGGGTGGACCGACGTCATATTGAACCCTATGGATTAGGAACGGGATGTCACTTAAGCTCATATGTGAGTCAAGGCAGGTGAGCAAATACTTTTGGCAATATAGTGTAACTTAAGTTGACCTGAATGAAGTATATTGGGTTGAAACAACTAATTGTTTATTGTAGAAAAAGATTAATTTAATTGTGTGGAAATGATTTCCATGATTTTTTTAAGTTCATTCAACAAATTATTTCTTTGAGTGTGGAACCAGACGCTAATCTGGCTCTTGATCACGGCGGTTCTTCAGCAGGAAGTAAAACGATGTGACACGAGATGCAACGGAAGGCACCCATCATCTTCTCTCCTCTGAAGACCTCAGGTCTCCAACAGCTCTGTGGAAAAACGCTAAATCTCATCAGAAACCCAGAGAGGAAGCAAGCTGCTGATCTGGGACTTCACAGCATGAAAGGCGGCCATGTTTCACCCTGAGAAGAACATCTCAGAAGGTCAGGAAGGAAGCGACACAGGAAAAGGCAGATATCGTTACATCAAACAGCCTGACTTTGCAGAGCCGCAGCAGGAAGTGTTTTCAACAGAAAATAAACCAAATCAAATCATCTTAAAGATTGAATTTCCAGAACATGAGAGTAAAACCTGCAGCTCCTGGAACTAGAACCAGTCCTGATGTCTTTGTACGCTGATGATGACTGGATTTACTTTGCAGAGCATCTTAAAGCATCCCTGTGACCTTTGACCTCAGGATCAGCTTAACCTGACATCCATCCAATGATCCTTCATCTCCTGCTGCGTATAAATGCTCCTCTGTGACCTCAGAGGTTCTGATCAGTCTCTGAATGGGTCATGTGACCCAGAGCGCCGCTTCCTGTAAGTCTGAGCTCCCCTTAAACACCACAGCTAACTAAGCTAACAGCTGTTAGCTCTGAGCCTCAGCTGCTTCTGATTGGAGGATTTCATCCAGAGGAAGTCCAGGATTCTGGACATGCTGGTCCAAACTGGTCTGATACCAGAACCCAGACAGCGGTGCTGCTTGTGGCCTGCAGGGGGCGCTGAACCCAGAAGCTACAGGTCCAGCGCCCTCAGTGGCTGAAAGCTGCACAGGGTTGTTTTAGATATTCAGAAATTAACTCAGTGAAAGTTACAGAAAAGCCAAACATGTCAGAACTCATTAAAAATGGCTGTCCAGCTAATGCTAACGCTAGCGTATTTCAGTCTACATCTGCTACTCATGAAAATTATTTTATAACAAATTAAAAAATAGACCAAATAGGTCCAAAGCAAAGAGCAACATGAACAAAATGAAAGAAAATCCAAACGGGTCCAGAATATCTGGAACCAGAACCGAGCTCCGTTTGTCTCAGCTGACTGCGAAGTTTCATCAACAGCAGGACTTCTTAATGTCCAACGTCTTCTCCACCGTCAGTAAACAATAAAAACTCTGCTGCACAATAAACACGTCTAATTATCCCATCAAGAAAAGACGGATTAAAACCAGAGAAACTGCCTGAAACCAAACCCAGCAGAACTCACCACTGAAAGGACGAATTTTAAAGTCAAGAAAAAACCCAAACCTGATCTAGAATAAAGTCCAGAACGCTTCTAAGAACCTTAACGGACCTTAGGAGCCCAAACCAAGAACTCAAAACAACTGATACGGAACAAAGTCTGAGCCAAACCATCCCGACCCAATAAGAACCTCTAAACGTCCGAACTCCAGAACCTGCAAAGTTCTAAAGCTCCAGAGAACTGAACCCAACCGCTACTGCATCGGCGGGAAACATCCGTCATCCTGCAGGGTGTCTCCGCCCTTTGGTTCCAGGAGGAGGTCCCTGCAGATCTCCTCCTGGTAGATCCAGATCCTGGTAGATGAGGAGGAGTTCAGAGTCTGCCTCTCTGTAAGAAGGATGAATGGGAATGTGTCTTTGTCTACTGGTCCGGTTAAGTTCCCCCCCCATGGAAGGTTCTAGGCCTGAAGTACGAGCAGGCCCTTCATCCTCCCCCTTCCTATGCTCCCCGCCTGCAGATAGACACTAGGTGGTGCTATAGAGCACCCGCCCCTCTCACACCCAACCAAAAAATGGCCTAACGATTATTCAGTTATTTTTAGTCAGTCTAGGTTTGGCGTTCAGCTCATTTTCTGGATTGAGTCTGACTCTGTTGCTGACGGTTCTCTACGGGTCGGGGTCTTCAGAGGGCGCTGTCCCCGTCTTCAGGGGCCATAGTGCCGAGGTCCAACGAGGCTGCAGGCGGAGCCCATGTGGTCCACCAGCGGCCCTGTCTGACCTCAGCACTATGACCTCTGGGGTCGGCCCCTCAGTTTCTGGGTCCCTTTGGGTTTGGCTCCTCTGGTGTCAGGCTCCAGGTGCTCTCCTCTGTTCAGAACCTTTGGATTTTACTCGCCAACAACAAAACCTGAAGTTTGACACAGAAAGGTGGACCTGCTGGACGGGGCCTCTATGTGCTGTTCAGGATCTGCTCCTGAGTCTGGGTCTGGGTCTGGGTCTGAGTCTGGGTCTGAGCCTAGGTCTGGGTTTTTTCCTTCCACTTAACTTTTTCAGCCGTACCGTTGGAAGCAGAACTCTGAGCGGTTTGAGGTTCTGCAGGTCCGGCTCCATGCGGAGGGACTCTGTCGCTGTTCTGGTCCATGATGGTTTGAACCAGAACATCTGATGGAGCTGAATCATCAGAAAGAAGAAAATAAACAGGAATGTTTCCCTCGGTGTGAAACGGCTCTGATTGTTCTGGGTTCATTAACTCCAACGGGTCGAGATGAGAATGTCTGTTGAAGCCGTAAGTGTGTTAAACAGCCACCGACTTCCTGTCGGTTCCACATCGAGGTTAAACGCGACTGCAGGAAGTCAACGCTTCTTCCAATCAGGTGTGGTTTCTTCTCAGAACCGTCTGAACGTCACGCTGCAGATAAAACTGCGCCAGTTCGGTACCTTTCCACTGGGCCTCCTCTAAAACACCCAGAACTTTGGATCAGAACCAGCGAGGTGATCCTGGTCCAGCTCCTTCTGGAGCTCCAACCCATCATCAGACCTGGAAGCTCTTCAGAGATCAGAAGATGTTTCTGATGGTTTTAGAAAAACACCCAAAATGTTGGCAGTGAATAAAGGAGTAGAAACTCGTGGAGTTTTGGTGGTTCTGAAACCGGGTCAGACCCGAGGCTCGGCGAAGACCTGACAGGAAACTAACCATCTACAGAAGTTCTACAAACATCCAGTTTTCTCTTATTTTCAGATTAAATCAGATGTTTCTCCTGCGGTTGACACTGACCTGCGGCAGTGGAAGCGGAGCGTAGATCTAGGCCTGTAGATGTTCTCCTCACTGTCTGGTCCAAACCAACACCTACTGGAACCAAGCAGCCATCTTCAACATGTCTGCTCCTTCTGATCGCTCTTCAGTCAGATGAAGCGGGTAATCATCTCGACTCGATGGCACCTTGCTGGTGTCTGCAGATGGACCTCCTGAAGCTCTGACTCACCAACACCGTGTGGGACGATCAAACCTTCCTCCTGCTGCACCTCATCTGCAAGCTGTTGGTGGAAACTGGAGACGCTGTCCTCAGAGCGCCGCCGCCTGCTTCACACAAACACCTCCGACCAATCAGGAGGAGCGACTATGACACCTCAGAGCGGCGCCGGTTGGTGAGAAGCTGCAGCTCTGTGAGAACGCTGCTGCAACCGTCTGAACATCCTCCCACCTGCAAACAGGAAACCACAGCGAGGAGAGGAAGCAGAGTCCTCCTCTACCTCCTCACTCCTCTCAGCCTCCCACCTCCTTCTGCTGAAGGTTCAGAGGAGCCTGAGGAACCTCTGAGCCGGAGGGAGGAGACCTGGAGAACGTCTGTGGAGGATCCATCTGACAGAGTTTCTCCTAAAGAACCTTCAGAACCGAGTCCAGACCAGAGTCCGAATGAGCAGCTCTCATTCAGACTTTAACAAACGCTGCGGTACCGAGCATCCATCGGTAGAAGGTCCTGGACGGTTCCAGGGACACAAAGTCTTTGGTGACACAAAACGTCTTCTTTTATTTCTCATAAACGTAAAGAGCTGAGATCAGATTTTAAAAAATGCAGGAAAAGAAGTTCAAGAAGGTGGAACACAAAATATCTGAAGAACTGATGAAGAAAACGTCTCCTGGGGCAGGAAGTCCCTCCGTCAGCCCTAAGACCTCCAGGAGGAACCAGGAAGTCCCTCCCTCAGTACAAAGACCACCAGGAGGAACCAGGAAGTGCCTCCCTCAGTCCAAAGACCACCAGGAAGTCCCCCCCCTCAGTCCAAAGACCACCAGGCGGAAGCAGGAAGTCCCCCCCTCAGTCCAAAGACCACCAGGAGGAACCAGGAAGTCCCCCCCTCAGTCCAAAGACCTCCAGGAGGAACCAGGAAGTCCCCCCCTCAGTCCAAAGACATCCAGGAGGAACCAGGAAGTCCCTCCGTCAGCCCTAAGACCTCCAGGAGGAACCAGGAAGTGCCTCCCTCAGTCCAAAGACCTCCAGGAGGAACCAGGAAGTCCCCCCCTCAGTACAAATACCACCGGGAGGAACCAGGAAGTCCCTCCGTCAGCCCTAAGACCTCCAGGAGGAACCAGGAAGTCCCTCTCTCAGTACAAAGACCACCAGGAGGAACCAGGAAGTGCCTCCCTCAGTCCAAAGACCACCAGGAGGAACCATGAAGTCCCTCCCTCAGATCAAAGACCTCCAGGGGGAACCAGGAAGTCCCCCCCTCAGTCCAAAGACCACCAGGAGGAACCAGGAAGTACCTCCCTCAGATCAAAGACCTCCAGGGGGAACCAGGAAGTCCCCCCCCCCTCAGTCCAAAGACCACCAGGAGGAACCAGGAAGTCCCCCCCTGAGTACAAAGTCCTCCAGGAGTAACCATGAAGTCTCCCCCTGAGTCCAAAGACCTCCAGGAGGAACCAGGAAGTCCCCCCCTGAGTCCAAAGACCACCAGGAGGAACCAGGAAGTCCCCCACTGAGTCCAAAGACCTCCAGGAGGAACCATGAAGTCCCCCCCTCAGAACAAAGACCTCCAGGAGGAACCATGAAGTCCCCCCCTCAGAACAAAGACCTCCAGAAGGAACCAGGAAGTGCCTCCCTCAGATCAAAGACCTCCAGGGGAACCAGGAAGTCCCCCCCTCAGTCCAAAGACCACCAGGAGGAACCAGGAAGTACCTCCCTCAGTACAAATACCACCAGGAGGAACCATGAAGTCCCCCCCTCAGAACAAAGACCTCCAGAAGGAACCAGGAAGTGCCCCCCTCAGATCAAAGACCTCCAGGGGGAACCAGGAAGTCCCCCCCCTCAGTCCAAAGACCACCAGTAGGAACCAGGAAGTCCCCCCCCCCTTAGTACAAAGACCTCCAGGGGGAACCAGGAAGTCCCCCCCCCCTCAGTCCAAAGACCACCAGGAGGAACCAGGAAGTCCCACCCCCCTCAGTACAAATACCTCCAGGAGGAACCAGGAAGTCCCCCCCCCCCTCAGTACAAAGTCCTCCAGGAGGAACCAGGAAGTCCCCCCCCCCCTCAGTACAAAGTCCTCCAGGAGGAACCATGAAGTCCCCCCCTGAGTGAAAAGACCTCCAGGAGGAACCATGAAGTCCCCCCCTGAGTCCAAAGACCTCCAGGAGGTACCATGAAGTCCCCCCCTCAGTCCAAAGACCACCAGGAGGAACCAGAAAGTCCCCCCCCTGAGTCCAAAGACCTCCAGGAGGAACCATGAAGTCCCCCCTTGAGTGAAAAGACCTCCAGGAGGAACCAGGAAGTGTCTCCCTCAGATCAAAGACCTCCAGGGGAACCAGGAAGTCCCCCCCTCAGTCCAAAGACCTCCAGGAGGAACCAGGAAGTCCCCCCCTCAGTCCAAAGACATCCAGGAGGAACCAGGAAGTCCCTCCGTCAGCCCTAAGACCTCCAGGAGGAACCAGGAAGTGCCTCCCTCAGTCCAAAGACCTCCAGGAGGAACCAGGAAGTCCCCCCCTCAGTACAAATACCACCGGGAGGAACCAGGAAGTCCCTCCGTCAGCCCTAAGACCTCCAGAAGGAACCAGGAAGTCCCTCTCTCAGTACAAAGACCACCAGGAGGAACCAGGAAGTGCCTCCCTCAGTCCAAAGACCACCAGGAGGAACCATGAAGTCCCTCCCTCAGATCAAAGACCTCCAGGGGGAACCAGGAAGTCCCCCCCTCAGTCCAAAGACCACCAGGAGGAACCAGGAAGTACCTCCCTCAGATCAAAGACCTCCAGGGGGAACCAGGAAGTCCCCCCCCTCAGTCCAAAGACCACCAGGAGGAACCAGGAAGTCCCCCCCTGAGTACAAAGTCCTCCAGGAGTAACCATGAAGTCTCCCCCTGAGTCCAAAGACCTCCAGGAGGAACCAGGAAGTCCCCCCCTGAGTCCAAAGACCACCAGGAGGAACCAGGAAGTCCCCCACTGAGTCCAAAGACCTCCAGGAGGAACCATGAAGTCCCCCCTGAGTACAAAGACCTCCAGGAGGAACCATGAAGTCCCCCCCTCAGAACAAAGACCTCCAGAAGGAACCAGGAAGTGCCTCCCTCAGATCAAAGACCTCCAGGGGAACCAGAAAGTCCCCCCCTCAGTCCAAAGACCACCAAGAGGAACCAGGAAGTGCCTCCCTCAGATCAAAGACCTCCAGGGGAACCAGGAAGTCCCCCCCTCAGTCCAAAGACCACCAAGAGGAACCAGGAAGTACCTCCCTCAGTACAAATACCACCAGGAGGAACCATGAAGTCCCCCCCTCAGAACAAAGACCTCCAGAAGGAACCAGGAAGTGCCCCCCTCAGATCAAAGACCTCCAGGGGGAACCAGGAAGTCCCCCCCCCTCAGTCCAAAGACCACCAGGAGGAACCAGGAAGTCCCCCCCCCCTTAGTACAAAGACCTCCAGGGGGAACCAGGAAGTCCCCCCCCCCCCCCCAGTACAAAGTCCTCCAGGAGGAACCATGAAGTCCCCCCCCCCCCCCCTCAGTACAAAGTCCTCCAGGAGGAACCATGAAGTCCCCCCCTGAGTGAAAAGACCTCCAGGAGGTACCATGAAGTCCCCCCCTCAGTCCAAAGACCACCAGGAGGAACCAGAAAGTCCCCCCCCTGAGTCCAAAGACCTCCAGGAGGAACCATGAAGTCCCCCCCTGAGTGAAAAGACCTCCAGGAGGAACCAGGAAGTGTCTCCCTCAGATCAAAGACCTCCAGGGGAACCAGGAAGTCCCCCCCTCAGTCCAAAGACCTCCAGGAGGAACCAGGAAGTGCCTCCCTCAGTACAAATACCACCAGTAGGAACCAGGAAGTCTCCCCCTGAGTACAAAGACCTCCAGGAGGAACCAGGAAGTCCCCCCTGAGTACAAAGTCCTCCAGGAGGAACCATGAAGTCCCCCCCCCCTCAGTCCAAAGACCTCCAGGAGGAACCAGGAAGTCCCCCCCCCCCTCAGTCCAAAGACCACCAGGAGGAACCTGGAAGTCCCTCCTTTGTTTGATTATTAAATAAGAGGAAAATTTGTTGATTCTTGTAAACCTTCTACCTTTGAAGCTAAATAAATGGCAAATATCTTTAAACTCCACTGATCTGAAGCGGCGGATCCTTCCTGTCAGGCTGTGTGGTTTTATTGGCCCAGTTACTTCCAGAGGAAGCAGAGGATCAGGTCTACAGAACGCTGTGATGTCACAGAATCACCAAGGAGCAGCATGAGCTCAGGTCCATTTAGAGAAAAATACCTTTTTTCATCCCAAACTGAACAGAATGGACTTCTGGACCAGTTCCTCCCAGTTCTCAGAACCGTTCTGCCGCCGGTGCAGAGCTTGTATTCTGAGGCAGAAAAAAACATGAAGGAACCAGGAGAGGATTGAAGAATAGAACAAACTAGTGATGGTTAATGACTGGTGATGGTTACTGACTGGTGATGGTTAATGACTGTGATGGTTAATGACTGGTGACTAGTGAGGCATAATGAAGCCAAACTAATTAATGCTGCGTTGATTCTGTCTCTCAGAATACTGACACCTGCTGGACATTTAAAGACACTACAGGCAGCTGATTGGACAGAATAAACTAAATTAATTTGATTTCATTGAAGTTATTGGAAGTTATATTCTATTATTTCATATCCATGTTTAAATTTAAATATCTTTGATATTATTAGATGCAGCCAATGAATAAAACATTTATCATAATGGGAAAATGTGAACGATGCTGCTGGACTAGGATTCTAAATCATAATTTTAAAACAATACATACAGTAAAAACAGTAAATAAACTCAGTCAATTTGAAATGAACTTTAATTCAGATCAGTTGAGCGAATGAGGATGAAACGAGAAAATAAAAATGGCTGAATGGTTTCTATTCCTTTAAGCCTCCAAAATTCTGGATCATTTTAACGATAAACTGCAAAAGATGAGACTTTATTTTAGCAGATGCATCATGGTGACAGATTTTAAACCCAGTTTAGTGAGTCAGAAACAGCGCCTGGATCGGTCACATGACTTCCTGGAAACGACGCGTGCTGATGCAGCGTTTTGGCTCCACCCATCACTGCTAAACCAATTCCATTTAAACCATTTATTAAATAAAGTTAATAAACATAAAAAGCTTTCTTATAAAGGTTTCCATCATAGTTTTAAGCGTTTATATGTTTTTTCTACTAATTATTTTCTATAATCTATTAAAGTTGTCGGTTGATTCATGAAAAGATGAGAGGAACCGAGTTTTTCAGGTCAAGAATCCAAACGAGCCTCTGAGCAGAACTTTTTATTTCAAAGTTAACAAAAAATGAATAAAATCAATTAAACATGAATTAAAAGCTTATGTTTAAATAATAAGAGTAGAAATGTTCTGGGTCCAAACAGCGGAATCATCCCGGGCCGGGTCAGAACCTTCTAATAAAACTAACCTGCTTGTAACAGAGATTAATAAAGTTATAAAACAAAGCGACGTGGTTCTGGCAGCACCGGGCCCACATCAGATTCTGATGGAACCGGTCAACCGGGCCGCCTCTGGTTCCGTCTCCCGGACAACCGGACTTGACTCCTGGATGTCGGCTGCTTTATGAGCGATCCGTCTAAAACAAAGCTGCTTCTCTGTGGAAGATTGTCCAATAGGCTGCAGGGGGCGGAGCCTCAGATCAGAACGCTGGACACCGGAACACGAGTGGACCGCCCACTTCTCGGCACCACGATCGGCTCGTCTGCTGGAGAACAACAGGACAACCGGGGTTATTCAGGAGGTCCGGTTCATGGGAAGAAGGTTCTTTTTTTAACAGTTTCCCGTCTGGAGATCAGAATAATTATCCACTGGTGGAGCAGTACGGCTATCGCCATGGTGATCCGCTGGATTTATGCATAGAAATAACTTTATTATAATTATGCAGGGAGTTTTACAGATTATATGGACACTGCAATGGAAGTAGAACAGAAGAGGAAAACAGGGAAAAGGAGAAAAGATGAGAGAAAGAGGAGATAAAAGGAAGATAATAATAAAACATCTTCATTCTGCTTCATCACCTGCAAAGAGACGGAAAAAGAACAGAACAACCAGCAGACATGGAAGGAGACATAGAATAAAGTATCACCTTGATACTATCGCTGAAGTATCAGTAGTATTATTTAATCTGACATGTACTCTGTGTTACCTGAAGATCAGAATATGGACTTTCTGTGTGGAAGTGAATCTCTGAGTTCCTGGAACCAAACACCTGTAGTTGATTATGAAAGTGCACTAGTGCATGTAAAGTTCATCCATGGTGAAAATGCTCAATAGTGGTTGTGGAGAGCTGAAGAACCCGGACCGGGCGGCTCGCTCTGGAAGAAGGTTCTGCTGCGAGCCATCGGTGCTGATTTACAGCCAGCAGGTGAGACTCACCTGTCGGGACGTAGTTCTCCGCCCGTTCGCGGTCCCCCTCGATGAAAAGGGCGGTGGCCAGAAAGAAAGCCCCGCCCACCACGGAGACGAAGGAGCAGAGCATCAGAGAGAGCTGCAGGGAGCGGAACTGCCAGAGGAAGGAGTCGGTTCTCCTCAGACCGTCAGAGAGCTGAGAGGGAGACAGGAAGGAGACATGAGGAGGAACCAGGCTGAGGACATCGGGTCCAAACCGGGTCTGGACCCGATGTCCTGCTTCTGTCCACCAAAAAAAAACACTAAGTTAATATTCATCAAAGATTTTAGGCAAAAATAAGAAAGAGAAAAAGATAAACTCAGCTGACCCCCCCCACCCCAAAAAAAATCAACAACCAGGCTAATCAGCTAACGCTACAAGCTGCTAATGCAACCTGCTGCTAATGCAACCAGGGGCTAATGCTACAAGCTGCTAATGCTACCTGCTGCT